AGGCTTTCATATCGAAGTAACCCTACTATCCAGGTTCCTTCTCATAGCCCTACCATCCAGGATTTTATATCGAAGTAACCCTACTATCCAGGTTCCTTCTCACAACCCTACTATCCAGGCTTTCATATCAAAGTAACCCTACTATCCAGGTTCCTTCTCATAGCCCTACTATCCAGGATTTCATATCGAAGTAACCCTATTATCCAGGTTCCTTCTCCTAACCTTACTATCCGGGTTCGACCTCTCTTATCCACAGAAAGTAGTCCACAACACTGTAATACCTGGATCCGATCAAACACAATTGATTTCACACTTCCCTAGTAAGTCGCGGTGCAGCATATACCTCGACCAGATACGCAGTTCACTTTTGCTTCCCAAACCAGAATTATTCCCCAGTAGAGTAATGGATAACTGAAGCTCCTAAAACTCTATTTCCCTCAAGACAGAGACCATCGTTCCCCAGTGAAGTCTCCTCAGACAACAGGTATACGAGTTCTCGCAGAGGAATCTCTTATGCGATCGACGCTTCCTTGGATGGAATATTTAAGCCCATCCCCGATAATCTTCAATCCTCAACTTCCAAATGGCATCTATAAGCCCATTTCCGATATCACAAATCAATCATCACTTCATGCGAGTGCAAATTTCTGGGCACTCTAGTGTTCAATCATCTTCCACCTTCAGATCACGAAAGGCAGACGAGCCAATCTACATCCTCAGGTTTACGAAGATTGAATAGGGGCAACTGTTGTACCCCAGAATTTTCCCTCCCATGTTTCTCAATACATGTCAAGTGAGGTCCTCAAATTGCTCAAGGAAGTCCAAGAGTTTACCAAACAAACTCTCTCCTAAGGCAGTCTACCTCAAATTAGGGTTTCATTTTTCATCAATATACTTGGGAACAAAGGATCCCAAATGATCACCATTATCCTAATATGTTCTCAAGATCATCCATGTCAAGTTTCAATCCTTGCAGAAGAAGTTTACTCAGTCAATTGCTCAAAGGCCTGAAAATTGACTATGCTAGGTCAAAAGTCGACTGTGGCCCACATACAGTCAAACTTCAAGATTTTTGGCCAAAATCCTCATTTTTAGGTATCATTCATCATTTGATCAAGGGTTTATCATAATTCATCAAGGATTACCCACAATTCATCAAAACCCAAAAGTTGCTAAATTAGGGTTTTTTAAGAAAAGTCAACTCAATTTTGACCAAGCATAACTTTCTCATACTTTATCAGAAATGACCCATACAAAGCTCATTTTGAAGAGGATGAAATTCCATACAATTCATCTTCAGCTCCCAAGTTCAAAATATTCACTCACAAAAAGATATGAATTTGGACATTATAGGTCATTTTAAAAAGTCAACAAAAACACCTTTTAGGTTAAAGCTTCATACATGAACATGGAAGACTCAATTGAGATGATACCAAAAGGGTTGTTTAGGGGACATCCTAAGCTTTCTAAAAAGTCCAATAACACCTCTCTAGGTTCAAAATTGAGAGAGTTATGCATTGGCCAAGTTTACCTTTTTTGCAAAATTGCCAAAAGTCAAATGTGCTCAAATTTGCATTTTTTGCTAAATGGGCCCAACTTTTTATGCTTTCACTTCAATGATAACATAGTCCACGACCTATGGGACCCTCCATGCTTTATTTAGTCATTTATTATTTTTATTTTTTATTTTTATTCATTTAAAATTTAAATAAAATCAAATAAATCTAAATAAATCAAAATTTTCGTTTTCCTTTTCATCAATTTATACACCATTTTCACGTTTTGATTGCATATTCTTATTCCTTAACATGTTTTCAAGCTAATCATTATATTCAATTGTGTTTTTGGTGATTGTATGACAAACTGCCATGGCTAGGGTTTCTTGTTTAGTTTTAGGGCTTTGCAGGATGGGTAAAATTGGACATTGATTCTGGTACCATGAGACTCGTGAGGATGAGACGAGTTGATTGGTACCAACCATGGTCATTTATGTGGCTTATGAACAATTTTTGAAACACACAGGGTTGTAGCTACAGCGCAATGTCCGTAGGTAAAACATCCCGGGCTAACACGACGGATGGGAGGAGGAAGATGAGGCGTGGCGCCCCCTGGTTGGGCAATTTGAATTTAGCGCGCTTTTTATTATTGTCAATATATTATCTTTTGTTTTTATTGTATATACAAATGAATCAGTTAGCTCAGTTGGCAAGCGTCCAGGGGAAGAGTGCCTAAGGACCTGGGTTCGATTCCCAGGTCCCAACCTTTATTCATAATATTTTTCAACAGGCAATCCAGCGCTTTGCAAATCAAAAAGCTCACCATGTACCATCAGGATCTGGCCATCCAACTCATCAGCGCTCCAGATCCAATGCCTTTCCTTTGGAGGACCACCATACGCCTCCAGTCAACAGCCACATTGGATCAGGAAAAGTCAAACGGGCCTGGATCTTTTGGGCTCAGAATCTCAAACAGCACCCCCCATAATTGCTAATACAGGCCCATTTACTAACTTTTCTTTATTTTATTTATTTTTCTTTATTTTTTATTCTTTGAATTTTCTTTATTTATTTCATTTCACAAATTAATTTATTTTTTTTTACAAAAAAACATAATTCATCAAAAATTAGGATTAGTTTTTATTTTATCAAAATTAATTTGATTTAGTTTGAATTAGGGAAATTTTAATTTGATTTTCAAAAATAAAATCAAATAGAAATTAGGTTAAACTTTTGACTTGATTTTATTTTTTGCTTTTCTTTCTCAAATAAATAAAAATACAAAAAATAGGTTTTAGATTAAGTTAATTCATTTTTTTTAAATTAGGATTAATTAGAATTAGAATTTTCTTTTTATTGTAGTAACTTCTCTATTTTCCTAAATAACAAAACAAAACAAAAACATTTTTTTAACTAATCACAATTAGGTTTAGGCAAGGGTCAAAACCCTAGTTGTCTCGTTTTCGATTTATCGCGCGCGTATTATTATTTTTACGATATTGTTGTAAGTGTTCATGGTTTGTAATAGTTTAATCTAGGGCTTTTTATTTATCGCTTTTTTTCTGGGTTTTTGGCTATGTAATTAATTCCCCTCCCCGAAGCCTTGTAATAGCGTATATTTACTTTCTCGCATTTTAATTCTCGCAAATATTTGACTGTCTAGATGTATGTTAATAGGGTTATATGACAAGAATGCATGACAAATTAATACGGTTAGAAAACCCTAATGTGCAAAGATTAAATAATTGAAAACAAATCACTCGCACATATCACTCTTAAGGTATACCCTCACTTCGGTTGCCTTCGGTAAACGATCATTAAGCATAAGGTGTCTTAGTGGTTGCCCTCCTGTCTAAAAAAGATCAAACGTCCCATTCGAATGTTGCCTCAGAAATGTTGCCTCGGAAATGTTGCCTCGAATATGATCTTAAGACTCTAGGGTTATTACTAAGGTGTCCTAATATTGCTTTAGTGATTGTATGTCCCTTTCGAGTTGACCCTTACAAACTCCAACGACGGTGCTACCTATTTCTCAAATAGTAGGATAGCGCTGTCTAAAGGAAATGAGAATAGAAACAATCTTTTTTCGAGTAGGTAGATAACTGTTAGGTAATTTCTCAAAACAACAAATATTTTTCACACAAACACTTTTCAAACAAAGTTTTCAAAAACAACTTCGTAACACTCTTGAGGACAGAAACAAGGGTTAAAACGAAGTAAAATAAAACTTTTCAAAACAAGCACACACAAGCAATTTCAAAATGAGCAAGTACCTAAGAGCCCATGGAAAACCATGGATAGAAAGGGTGCTAACATATTCCCTTTCTATAATCTACCCCCCGTACTCAGAAACATCTCGAAAATGGTTTTTTCTGTTCTTTTTTCTTTTCCTTTGTTGGATAAAATAAAAGTCAGTGGCGACTCTTGCTTACCGCGATATTTGCGAACAAAAAACGCAAACCAGTATTAACAGTCGGTTCTGCCACCGTATCACAGTTAGCCTACGACGAAATGATTTCCACATGACCGTCATATCTTCATCGGTCTTCAACTCAATAAAGTTGTATTTCACTCTTCCATTTGTATCAATCCAATCTTCACGAAACTCGATCTTTCTCACCTTTATGTTATCGGTATCAGACAGCAATTCATTCTACTTGTCTGTCAAGTTGGTAAGAGATGTGGTGTCATCCGGAAGCTTGAACTCAACAGGAGAATTGACTCTGTTGAAATACACTTCTGCCTTAATAAGAAATTGAGTAAGAGATATTTTGAGATGTTTTCTAAAGAACAGATGACACCCCTATTTATACAAATTTTGTTTCATTCTAGACCACACAAATTTGTCGGCATAATCACATCCCTACAACACTATCAGCAAAATCCTGATCGTAATTTTTTTTAAATACATACACTATCGGAAATTTCAATTTGTGCTAAATTTCTGATATGAAATTGCACATTTTAAAATTTCCAAATCAAATTACAATTTACTGAAAATTTCACTATAACTATCTGAAATTTCATGCTTATCACAAATTTTTAAATTATTACCAAAAATTTCATTCGATCATTATTTTTTTAATCAAAGAGCATTTTTGGTATTATAGAAATAATGGGGTGACAGTTTAAATTTTAGGGTAATAAGTTAAATTCTCTTAAAATAAGTGATTAGAATACACATCTATAATAACCCTATAATAAGAACTCTCAAAGATAGTTTAGAATCTAAAGTGGCAGTACTTGGAAATCCGAAGTCGTTTAGGCCCATGTGAAGTCCATCCTTATCAACATGAAAACAGATCAAAATGGCCACGTCAGCAGCCCAACTTTAATTGCAACGAACGGTTGAGATTCATTTAGACCCCACAAAGTTGTTCGACTTTTACCGCAAAACCTTCATTAAATAAGACATGAATGTCTCGCATTTGTATCTCTTACACCGGAATCTGGTCATTGGGATCGCAGATACGCCGCATCTGCTAAAATACGCCTTATCCAATTATGGGCCTTCTCGACCAGTTGTGGGACGATACCGTCGCCGGCCCTCGGCCGGAGAACGGTCTCGGTAAACTTCGCAAGCATAACACGTTCGCTGCCCGATCTAGCTCCGGCAAGGGTACGATCGTGTACTCCGCCACCTTAATTACTATTCATATATAATTTTCCGGCGATGTTCGTTACTTTCGGCATATCGATCACCAAACCATAACTATAATCACTAATTATTATTACTTTCACTATTATAAGCTATAAACTATAATAATCTATCTGCTAATATTGATTAACCTTCAAATCATGTTTTAGATTCAGATCTGAGTTACTCTAGTGACAGTTATAAAGCTTAAAGTTCAAAACTATCGAAATCAATTCATATATGATAGTGAAAGATGTTTTCTTTGAAATATAGTAAGAAATTTGATAATATGCTAACGTTAATGGAAATTGATTGATCAGAATTGGAGGCTGGAAGTGTGAGATCGTTCGGTGAAGAACCGTCAGAGCCGGCGACGAGAGTAACGCGTAGTATCATGATCGTGAAACCGCCAGGCTATCAGAGTGGTTCGCCTCCGGCTTCTCCCGCCGGTTCAACTACTCCGGTGTCTCCGTTTTCCGGTAAGGTCGTTATTCAGTTATACTGTACTCTATTTCTGCGACAGTTAAAGTTAAGTGCTTCTTAGTTTACAGAAACTATTACAGTAAAGATTGCTCCTAAATTTCGGGCAGGGTAAATTTGTCTTTTTGTGCAATGGCCTAGCTTAAAAAGTAGTACAAATTGATAATAACTTAATTATTACTGTATTAGTTGGAGCAGTTATGATATTATCGAATGTGATAATGACGTGCCATATTTAAGGATTATCTCAATCCGTGCCAATTAAACAACTATGGTTAATTATAATAATTAATCTCGTTAAAGCATCTCAATTCAATTCGATGATGTTTATTGATATCTGATGATATTTTGAAATGAAGTGATGTGTGTTTATAATTTTTAGGAACTAGAGAATCATTTCGGTTTCGACGAAGGTCGGCATCGGATGCGTTCGAGAAGAAAAACCAAGACAGATCAAGCTCTTCTTCTCCTTTCGATGTGTGAGAAATGAGCCCGACACAATTTCTAAGTCTCCGGAAGCAGAGGATGTTACCTTTTGGTCTTAGATGTAATAATTTTTGTTTATTTGTGTGTATGGGTTGAGTTGAATTGAAGTTTTGTGCTGCAGTTTAGTATTATAGCTCTTTTAAGTTTGAAAGGAAGTCCAAAGGGTAGTAATATGTATCTATGTGTAGTGTATATAGGGTTTTTAATTTACTATGTTTTGTTGTTTTTTCATGTATGTAAGTTTTCTCCTCCGGAATAATAACCTATATTCAATTTCTTGTGATTCATGCTTTGTTATGGATTTTCATTATTTTGATATGAGGATGAAAGTCCGAGGAAGTAGTGTATATGATCTGTTTTCTGTGGAGTACAAGTTAGAGAACCATTTTTGTCTTCATGGGAGGAAAAGACAATTTATTATGGGACATTGTTTGGTACATGTTGTGGATTGGGTTGGGTTAATGGTGGTGGTGGTCCGGGAATCTATCCAACAATTTGTCCAGGTGGAGAGAGAGTGTGGGACAACCATCACACCGCCAGTGTCCCTCCATAACTCCGTCGACCTAGAAACAAATCTACTTGTTCAGATTATTGGATGAATGTATTTCTTCTTATCTTGTAATTTTACTTGGTAGAATTTGTGTTTCCAAATAATGTGATCCAAATCGGACATTAGATTTGGTAAACGTTTGACAATGTTCTAGTATAGGTCACAAAATCTTTATTGAAACCGATAACTAACTATCACATGTTTTTTTCAAAAACGTCTTAACTTTATCATGATAAAATTTAAAATTAATAAAAAAAATCCTAACAAGTTAATCGAGTCAAGATGTTCGTATTAACAACATTTCGAAAATATAGAGAACGTTCAAAATATTTCCATGCATGTTCTTTATTTTATCTTATTTAGAATTTGATGTGTGAGTTTATTTTCATCATACTCCTATTAAGAATATAAATGATATTTGTACACTAAAAAACTAGACACCTAAGGCATCCTTTACTAATTTGTATGTATCTTCCATGTATGAGAGTATTTTGGGGATGAGTGAAACTAAATGTGATTGAAAATGAAAATACTGACATACGGTGTTGTAGACGGTATTTATAAATGGGGTGTTCATATAACACTCCGCTATTAAGAATATACAAATTAAAGTGTATATTTACTCAACCAAGTTAAAAGTATATATTCTCTCTCGTCAATATTATAAATAAATATTTCTTTTAGATTTATTGAATAATGAATTAATCACGTCTTTTATGTAGGTCAAGTAGATTCATTATTCAATAAACTTAAAAAAAGAATATTTGCTTAAGTAAGGCAGGAGGAAGTACATATTTTCCTACTTTTCAACATTTCCATTGCATTAAATCATAAGACTATTCATTTCCAATATCAGATCATCATTTCATCTTCTCCTATTCAAAATCCACTATTGATCTTACCTGATCAGACTTGGACCGTCACGGCTGGCTTCGAGCTGAAGTTTGAACGAGATGGGGGGGTACCTGCAAGGCACTCCGATGCTGAAGTAAGTGAGAGTACGAGCAGGCAAAAGTATGAGTATGGGTAAAAGAATGAATACCTGACCCTCTGGGAACAGAGGGTATTTATAGCCCCCAGCGCTGGGCCAAGGTCCCTTTATTGGGTCGGGCAGGTTTGGCCCAATGAAGGAACTGCCAGGTTCTACGTGTGTAGTGGGGACCTGCACGTGGTCTCCTTCCTGGGTGTCCTGCGAGAAGTACGTACGGACGAGGACGCGGTCTTTTCGGAATCCAGAACGTGGCGTGATGGTCATAGTCTGCCCTACGAGGAGCGCTCGAGCAGAGGTCGAGCTGGGCTGCATGAAGTCGAGGATGTCGTGGACAAGGCTGTAGCTTCTGGGTAGGAGCGACCTTCTGCAGGGCCATTTGGATTTGGGCCTTCATCCTTGCTCTTGGGCCAGCGCGACCCAGTCCAGAACAGGAGCCCCCCAAGTCGTGGTTCCTGGGGTGGAGCCATGACTTGAACTTAGTTCGCCTTTGTCACGGGGTCACGCTCCCGGACAAGAGATGTGGTTCCCCGTGGTTGCTCGAGGAGTTTCCCCCTGTATCGCGCCCGTGAAGTAATCCTCTCGAGGAGTGCTCGGGGGACTCTCGACGAGGCGTCTCTTGAGCACACGAGGCATCTCTTGGGAACCGTGCCGCACCCTATTGACGATAGGGTCATCATTGCCTAGGGGAGCTATGCGTCGAGGAGGGAAGTCCGTGGTTCCCCGGGGTGACGTTTCGTATTCCACGCCATCACTATAAATAGCGTCCTTGGGCCCCAAAACATGTTTTTCCTCTTCGCGCTTCTCCTCCTTCCTCTGCCTTTGCTGCTGCTGTTCTTTCCAGATATTCATAGGACCGTCGTGCCCTCTGTCGTTGATTCTCCTTTCCGCCGTCGCACTTCTTTTCAGATTTCAAGTAAGCGTCTTGTCCCCCATGCTTTTCCTCCGTGTTGTATGATATTTTTCGTTGTTCTTTAGACGCTAGAGACTGTACGCCTGGGATTAGCCCCGGTAGATTAGTGCTGGGTTCGGCAAATCCATGTTTATGCCCGGCAAACGCATGTTTGCGCCCGGTAAACGCATAGTTTAGGTATTTGACTCGCGGTGCTTCCCGGGATCTTCATGATTCAGGGCGCCTAATTCGTAGTAGTGCCCGGTAAACGCATAGCTCTAGTTTTGGGATTTATGATATCGCTCGCCATGTTCATAGCCTGGTCGACATATTCGTGAGTGGTCGAGATGTTGGTCCATTTAGGCGATCTGTAGGAAGACTTGTCGTGGTACCTGGGAGTCGGGGAGGTGACACCATCTTTTTTAGTCGTGCGTGGAGTGACACGGTTTGTCGTGCCCTTCTTCCCGTCCGTTATGGCGAGCGTGTGGATTTGCTCCCCAATTGATCGGTTTCCTGTGCTTTGTAGGTAACAATGGCGGACGAACCGTGTTCCTCGGGGCGCACTGAGGCGGAAGACCAAAGTGCTGAGGAGAATGTGAATTTGGTTGATACCATAGAGGATCCTCTGCTGGAATGGGTGGGTGCCGAGCCCAGAGGGATCGCTTCGGCCTATAGTCGACGCAGTCGAAGTGCGTTCACCATCATCGAACAGGGCGGTAGTCAGCCCGGTTTTCAGAAGAACTTTGTCGTCACTAGGCCGACTCTTACTGCCCGGATTTGCTCGGAGTTCCCCGAGTATGGGTTCCCGATGTACGAGATTGCTTTCAAGGACCTGGGGTTAAAGCTCCCCTTCAGCGATTTTCAGGTCGGGGTCTTCAGTCATCTGGAGCTGGCCCCGTCGCAGCTTCACCCAAACTCGATTGCTTTCATCCGGGCGTTCGAGCTGACGTGTCGGTTTCTAAGGATTGGGGCGACCATACCCCTCTTCTTCAGAGTCTTCCACTTACAGCGCCAGTCCCGGGGAGGTAGGCATAGTTGGGTTTCCCTGAAGCAGTCAAAGAGACTGTTCAGGATGTACATGGATTCCGTCCGGGGCTTCAAGGACAAGTGGTACATCGTGAGACCGGTTACCACAACGGGTTTAGAATCTGTATATGAGGAAGAAACAGTCGTGACCAACGATCACAGGGAAGCCCTTCTAGACGACGAGGGACGCCCGGTGTTAGGGCGCGTGGCCAAATTTCCCTTGCATTGGACCTCGCGGCACTACAAGCATGGCACCGGGAACTACCATACGTCCGCGGGCGAGATGAGCACCGAAGACGAGAAGGCTTATGGTACTCTCTGCCGGTATGTCGACATTTTCTTCCCCGCCCAGTGGGCCACGAGGGAGGGGAAGGATATTCTTGACGAAGAAGGTTATCCGACCTTCGAGGCCCGACCGATCGATACGAAGGCACTTGTGGAGTGCCAGTCCTTCGGGCAGGCCGCGAACCTGCTAGGTCGTTATTGTATTGTCTTGTTTGAATTTCTTCACTTGTTGCTTGTTCGTCACTAACCCGGGGTCATTTTATGCAGGTCTCATGGCTGGACGAAAGGAGAGGCTCCTGAAGCTGACACAGGATAAGAAGGTTAACAAGAGGTTAGTGCGAGCTCCTCAGGCGACGAGGATGGGCCCGCCAACTAGCCCGGGCGCTTCTCAGGCGACGAGGATGGGCCCGCCAACTAACCTGGGAGCTGCTTCGGGAGGGACCCCAGACGCTCAGGATGTCGAGCCACACATTGATCTGATACCGAGGAAGAGGAATCGGGTGGAAAGCCAACCGGAGATCGGCGAGGATTCTAGCGCGGTGAGGTCCTTCGGGTTGCCCCCTTGTTTTAAAGAGGAGGGTTTCTTCGAGGGATATCCCTTGTCCGTGAGTGCTGATGAAGCTGATACCATTAGGCGGATGAGCAAGGAGAGTCGGAGAAGGCATCTGGCCGCCAATATGGCTGGGCTGGTCAAGATGGCTGAGATGGCCGTCGTGCTGGCCGAGGAGGGGGCAGATTCTGATCGTATCAAGGAGTTGGAATAGGAGAAAGCTGCCCTTACTTCGAGTTCTCGAAAGTTGAAGGCTGCCCTGGAGCGCTCCAAGGAGATGTCCCGCGAGCAAGCCGAGCTGCTGGCGGCAGAGACAGAGTTGCTGGCTGTGGAGAAAGAGAACTCGGGGAAGATTGCCGAGGAGAGGGACTATTTCTGTGAGGACCGAGAACGTCTGGAAATTGACAACGGGCGCCTCACCAGAGAGGTTGAGGAATTAAAGGCCGCCATGTTCCCTGTCGAGGATGAGTCGGGGGAGATGGCTCCTTTGCGAAGTCGATCGGAACTGGTCGCTTGTATTCAACTCCTCGAGGTGGACTGTGTCGGTGCTATGGCGGATGGCTTTGAAGTCGCGGTCATCCAGCTCTCTCTGTTGAATCCCGGTCTGAATACTGAAGGAGTGGGTTACATGTCCCAGATCATTGATGGTCAGGTCGTGCCTCCGCCCGAGTCTTCTATTGTCGGTGGTGATAGCTCCGGGGAAGCTGAGTTGTGAGGTTCTGATAGGGCCTGCGCGCCTTTATTGATGTTTGTTACGGGGCCTGCGTGCCCGATCATTTTTACTTTTTGGGCCTGCGTGCCCGTTCTTTGTATTTCTTGAACATCGTCGGCCGTCTTGGTCGGTTTATCTCTATTTGTTTTGTTGCCTACGGGCATTTCAAATGAATGTTTGTTTCGACTTTAGATTGTTTGCCCGTGTTTGTGTTTTACGTTTTTGCGCTAAAATTGGCCTAAGTCACGGGTCCGAGTCTTGCCCGTATGTGGTTGTGACTTTGTTGGCAAATTTGCCTAAGTCTTTTGTTCGTGCCTATGCTCGGCTTTCTATTCGGTGGCCGAATTCTCCTAAGTGATGACCTCGAGGAGAGATTTCTTTTTCGACCCTTTTGGATGGCCCGACGTTCTTCGAGATTCATTGGGCGTGCGGAGCGAAGCCGCTTGTTCGGGTACATGACCCGGATCGGGGTTATTCACCCGCGGCGTGAACTGCCCATCGCGAGCTGGGTGTTCTGCCCTGCAGGTACTTCGACGGCGGAACTCGATTGAGGTGTCCACGTCGGGCACTATCGTTCACTCTCGTCTGTTGAACGA